TCCATGGAATACTTTTGTCTCAGTTGAAGTTTTTGCCGCAGGCGACAAATTTTAGTGATTTTTTCCTAGACAAACGTCTATTTTTTTTAACTTGCAAATTTGGAATGAACATTTTATATCGTTGTTTGTTGTTTGATGTAGTTGAAAAAAGAGTTGGGTAGTTGTATTGCTGTTTGAGTTATACTTGAGTATAGTTTAAAAAAATGGTTGAAAAAAATAATTTATTTTTTAACTTTTGTTAATTATTATGATGAAATTGAATGATTTCCAATTTTATTCGCAATATAATTGCAATATTAGCATTGTAGAATATATTTTTTTTAGGATCGTAATTTTCACTCAGGCTCTCTGAAAATTATACAATCTGCCACCTAAGTAATGAGTAATAACACTGCGGCTAAGCATACTCTAACTTTTCACCTAGGAGAAATTAGCCAATTTTACAAAAGCGGAAAGAAGGAAATGTATATTCTCCTCAACTTCAAGATATTTTTGAAATAAGTCTTGAAGTTTCCAGCATAATCTTGCTTTTTTTTTCTCCCGCCTGTTCTGCAAAATCAATAGAATGTATCTTGAGGCTCAAATCAATTTTCTTCATCAAAAAAGGTTAATTCATTTCGAGTCTAGATGTGCAAAATTTTAAGTCGGGATTAATCCTAAATTCTTCGCATTACAGAGTAGCAACAAAGCTCGCTACCTCTATTCTTAGAACTTCGAGTATTATTAAACAATTTTTTAAAAATACTTTTGAATAAAGAGCGTAGATGTAAGGGATTACATGGCGTGGTGAATTTGTGGCGTTCGGGTTTAATCTCCAAGCACCATTTGAATTCATTTCTTAAATGAATTGAACCAAATTCAAACAATATTTTTTGAGTCGATTTTAGCTGCCTTTTTCAACAATGTTTGATCAATATTTGATCGCCGTGATGAGCTGTACAGGTCTTGTGTTGGTCCTTTCCCCCGTGGATAAATGATCTTAAACATATAAACCCTGCTTGACAAAATGATCAAAATTGGAAGATTTAAAAGCAGTGTTCTTAGACTGGGATGAAAAGTGATCAGAACAAAAGTTGCTTGGAGTTTTACCAGAACTTTTATGCGGCAACTTATTTTCCAAAACTACTCGAAGAGACCAAACTGTGCACTGGTTAAGCGCACCGAATTGGTGTGAGTCGGTCACTGGAGACCAGAGAAAAATTTAGAAACACAGGGGCGGATTTAGGGGGATGGGGGTGCGGACGCCACCCCTTCTTCTCAGGAATTCGACCCCCTTTGTACTGTTTTGCGATATCCATTTTTGGCTGACGGACCCTAAAATTTTTCTAAAGGCACCAAAATATCCTACATTTGAAGAGGGAGCGCACGTCGAAAAAACGCCTTTTCGTTTAAAATTTTCCAAAAAGAGCCCAAAAGCGCCTTTTGGTCTGTGTTTCCAAAACTTTGCCTGCGGTGCAGAAAATTTGGCCAAACAGGGTCTTTTTGAAAATCCACCCCCTCCCCCCTCGAGAAAATTCTAGATCTGTCCCTGTATAAACATGTTTCAAAATGCGTATTGATCAGTTCCATGAAATCCGCCAACAAGTAATTTGTAACATAAACTTTTTCGACACAAAACTCGGGTTGTCTAAAGATCGTTATTTTACAATTTTTCAAAGAATCTCCAGAATATTACAAGCTAGTTAAAAGAACTTAAAGAAAATTGTGAGATAGGAGTTTTTCTTACAAAAAAATGTTTCAAATTTTGTCCAAGTTTTTTTTAAATTTCTATAAACCGTTTAAGAATTCTCCGCTGACGCAGAAAGCAAAAACGGAATTATTTTGCATCAACTTTAGGTTCCACTCTCGACGATATCAACCAAATATCCCGGATTGTTTCATCTTTTCTAAAAACCAAAGTGACATCATCGCCCTAAAATTTTGGGGTAGGATGCTAACTTGACCCAAAATATTTAAGTCGGAGCAAAATTTATCGAGTTTAATAAAACTGCTTTTGTATTTGCTCGAGCGAGGTGAACGAAAACTTTAACGGTATCATTTATCTAATGGAAAATAGAAATATCTAATCTCCAAATGGACTGATTAGACAAGCGTTCACAATCGAGGTATATTTTCATCACTTTATATGTTTTTTCTGGGTTCACTGGCCCGAGCTGTAAAAACTGACCAAGCATAGTTCTTGTATCCGGTCCAAGGATTTAAAATAAAGGTAAAACAAGGTCGTTAAAAATGTGATGAAAGAAATGTAACTTCCCAAAAACACTTCTAATCCAACTTCCGCAATTAATGCGTGACAGCAGCCGGTAATTCAGAAGACTACAATGGCAGAAACTTCCGGCTCTGTTTTAATCCAAGGAGAAAACATCCTTTTTTTCTAGATTTTTGAGCATTATTTCCTGTGAATATGAAAGTGGGCGAACTATTTGGGTTATTTGCTGTTTTCTGTTCTTCTTCTATTTTCTTCGATCTTTTTATGTTCCGACTTTCTAGGAAAGTGGCGGAATAATTGTTCTCGGTGTGGTTTTTTTCTCCTGACAAGTTTCGGTTTTTAACTAGCCTTGTTTGACAAAATTTTTTATATCAGCCAAAAGGCTTTGTTGTCGTGAGCTGAAATTTAAAAAGATATTTCACCTGCGATCATTTTTCGTAAAGCTATAAGGGCTTAAAAATTGCCAATTCGGCGAATTTGGGATAGTTCACGCGCGATACATTTTAAGTTTAACAGGTAAGCGTAGATTTAAACCGTTCTAGAAATCTTTCCAAATTGAATTGAGGCATGCTATTTGATCTTTTTAAGACTTGCTTAAAGGCCAATTGTTTTACTTTATACTTGACATAGCGTGCCGGGGGATGATTATCGCAAAAGCAAAATCTGAAAAAAAATTTCAAATTGTTTTTTGAAACTTTCATCAATTTTTTTTATTTAGAAGGCAGTCTGGGCATTCAGGGCTTCGCCCTGATACGAGCAGTCCTGCTTGTTTTATTTTGCTCGTTGCTTGAGGGAGAGGCAATTTTACCCAGCCCAGAAAAAAACCAAAAAAATGCAAGTAGTTCTTAACCGGGGGCACAGCGGTTCGCCACGATGAGCTGTAGGGCTCGTATGTTCGTCCTTTCCCTCGTGAATAATAAAAAATATCATTTTGTAATATTGTTTAGACGGTCATTTTGGATTAATTAAAGCGAAATAATCTTCTCAAACCCTCATTAATGAAGCTCGCAAATGGAGCATTAAGAGATCCAATTTCCCAAACCGGATCCTTTTTACCCACAAAATACCTCGTTTGAGGTAACTCGAATATTAAATATCCGTTTTTAATGCAAGTGAAATTCAATACCGTTCCAGATTTTGTTTATTTTGACACAAATTAAGACCATTCATCAAATTCTGAAACCTCCGGACAAAAATCTTCTGCTACAATATTCCCACATTCTAGACTGTATTTTTGCTGCGCTAAGTTCTTTTATGGCGCTCCAGAGCTAAAGAAACTTCGCGTGGTAACCTTATTGAAGCCAAAATTGGCTAGGCTCTGGTAGATCTGAAGCAAGAGGTCACGTGAAAGCTCATAACTAAACATTATCATTGCAACCATATTTAAATAACCATATTTCAGAGATAAATTACATTATATTTCGACCGTTTTAATATAGAATGAAATTAGGCATGAACAAAAAGTCGATACAACTTTTGAATAAACTTCTTTAAAGTTTACTTTAAAATTTACAGCTTTCGTATGGTTAGAGGGCAAATCTGGACTTTTCTCGGTTTTTAAAAAAAGTTTCCAAAAGTTCTGTCATTGGTTTTAGTTCTAAATTGACTAAATTGATGAATTGGCTTCTTCCAAAAAAAGCACACATTCAAAAACACAATCGAAAAAGACACTTTTTTATACCGCAAACAAAATTCTGAGGAAAAAATCCAAAACACCTTTTTTGAACACTTATTGGTTTTGGAAGGCTTTCATTTAAAAGTCTGTTTTTCACCACGCGTTTCCCCTCACAATTTCTAGGCCCAAAATAGATGCCTCCTATGTTAGCAAAAAAGGGAAAATTTTTCGCATGGTCAGAAATGCGAACATCGCCCCCCCTAATTCGTCCGTTTTCTACTTTTCAACATTGTGGGTATGGTTTTACATTAGGGGGTAGGGGAGAAGGGCTTTGGAAATTTTCTCAACAAAGAATGGCTAGTGCAAGCAATTTAGACTGGCGCAATCTTCCACACTTGGCGCAAATCAAATGACTTTTTCCACATCAAAAATGGACCAGATGTTATGGGAAGTATAAAAAATCAAAGCTAATTTCAAGCTTGATTAAAGCAAGCTTCTTTCGTACACGCTTGTACCGTTGAAAACAAATCATTTCAGTTGTATCAGCAAATAAAAGTACAAGAATCGCTCCATAATACCTCAAAAAATGTGAGATTGATACTATTTCATGCCGCTGGTTTTTTCATCACGTGCTCAAGTTAACATCTTTCGATCCAATTTAATATCCCCTCCCCCTTCCCCCAAGCCATTTAAGTGGGAATTTGGTCCAATTTTGAATTTGTGCCGATATGATGTAAACGTTTTCTAAGACTATTTCTTGCAAGATTTCGAAATCCTTTGCTACCCTAGTAATAGTTTTTCCTAGATAAATCAGAAGATCAGTTAGATAAAAAATTGTTTTTGTAGCAACCCATTTCATTGATTGGAAAAGTAAAATTATAGTCTGTCATTTGGAATCATTTCCAGCCGTTTCAGCCGTAAATTGAGTCTCAGACATGAAAAAAAAAATTTACCTTGCATTAAGTTGATTTGAGGGCTGCAAAAACTTGCAAACCTTAACAAAATTTTGAGCAAAAAAACGTTTAAATTGTTTTTTTTTTCTTGAAATAATCACGAAGTTTCTCGAAGAAGGGCAGCTACGCTTTAGTTTTTGTAAGGATTTTCTAGAGCGTCTTCAAAAAAATTTCTATTTTATTTATTTTTATGATTTTTTGAATTAAAAAACTTTTTGCTTAGATTGCGATGAAATATTGCAACCTCTTCTACAACTTCAACTTTCTTGCAATGCCATTGGTGTATGCTAAGTTGAACAAGCGCTTCATGAACGAGGGACATGCCTTCTTCCGAAGGTATCTGCTGTCCTATTGGAGGAATATTCCCATTCTCGGTTCGATTGGACGAAAACGCGAACAGCCGATACGAATGGGATTGGACACTGCGGGAACCGCGACAAACGCAAGTTTGTGCACTAAAACATCCGGCGTGATGACTCAACAAAAACAAATGATGTCATCTAACTGCTAGATTTATAATGTCCGAATGTTCCGTACCCCAACGTAAACTCTTTGTGGTAGTAAATTACTGACATTTCACAAAAATGAAAACAATTTTGATCAATAAATCAAATAGTAAATCAATAATTTGAGGATTCATCTTAAATCAGAAAGCAAGTTGAATTCATATAGAAAAATAATCTTAACCGATTTAGATTTAAAACTTTAACTAGTTAAAAACATTACAAAGTTTCACTTTATTTGATTTATTTCATACTTTTTACTAAAACTATATCAATCATTAACTATAAAGGTTTTGTGTAAATTTGTTAAGCTCGGACTTCATTTCAGTATTATGTTGTCACTTCGTAAAATATTAATTTAATTGCAAAATAACAAATTATTTGTCCTCGTCAGCTGTATCAATTGTATCATTTTCTAAGAAAAATCATTTTACTTTATTTTAAAAATGTATAATTTAGTTCAGATATTAAATTGCACCAATTATTTACAGTCGAGTCAATATTTTAGCGAATTTGTACCAAATTTATGGGAAAATGCTAATTTGAAATTTATGTTTAATTAATTACCCTTTCATCTGTGCTATAAGTGGAGACAAAACTAGTTTAGGGGTCTAGCAAAAAAATGATAACAAACCTTGACGTCATAATTTGTCTAAAGTAAAAAGACATCAGCAACTTCAAAGCGTTTTCTTGCGAACACCACAAAAGAACAGCGACATTGTTTTCTCAGCTTATTGTGGTTTTTAATGTTGTTCCGCACTTTCAAAGCTGGGTAAAAATTTGTCTTCAGAGATTAAGGATAAAAAACAGAAGTTTTGCTATTGAAAAAAGTGTTTTTTTTTTAGTTTGGGAAGCTAATTGGCAAGACCTGATTAAGTTTGAATATTGTAAATAAAATTTTCTTCTGGCTTACTGTTCTGATGTAAATTATCCGAGTAAACAATCGAGTAAAGTTCGAAAACTGCTTATCAAATTGGGTATAATTTAGAGAAAAATTCTGAAGACAAAACTCGCTGACAATTTTAATAGAAGTCATGTGGTGCAAATTATTTTTCAAAAATTGGTACTTAAAACTTATCTAAATTTTACCTGAATTTTCTTACTGTTTTTGATGAGATAAAAAGTTTACGACAAAACTGCCTGTTAATTGTCCGTGAAATTAGTTAAATATCAAAAAGACTGAAATGGAAAGAAGAAATTTTTCTGGAGTTACCCTTTAGAGTCCAAATCGAGAAACAAAAATTATTTTTTTCTGCGCAGCAAGTTTTTTCCTTATTTCAGTTTCAGTTTTTAATTGTTTTGCCTGGATAATTTTAGCTGTATGAACTGTTTTGTTTTCAACAAGTCATTTTTTCCGTTTACATTGTTTTATTGAGCTCAGATCTTAAATTACACTAATTAATTTTAATAGAGTCAGTATTCTAGCAATATTTACCACATTTATGGGAAGATGCTAGTTTGAAACTTACGTTTAATTAATTTGCTTTTTCATCTGCGCTATAAATTGAGACAAAATTAGCTGAAGGGTCTGGCGGAAAAACGATAATAATCCTCGACGTCTTAATTAGTCTAAAATGAATTATATTTCTGCTTTTTAATGCGTTTTCTGGTAAATATATAAAAAAATATAATTCAGTTTTTTGTGGTTTTTAGCATTGCTCTGTCTAACAAATCTGGGTCAAGTTTTGTCTTCATAGACAGAGGATATGAAACAGAAATTTTATTATAAAGTAACGTTTTTTTCCACTTTAGGAAGCTTCTTTTTTTCTGAATTGGTTAGATTTAACTTACACTGAATATTACCAAAAAAATTATGGCTCATCCTTCTGATGTAAATTATCTAAAAAAATGAGTGAAGATGAAAATTCAAGCGTTTTTCTCATATTGGGTTAACTTTAGTGAAAAAATGATGTTACAAGACTTGCTAACACTTTTGAATAAATCATGTGGTGGAACTTATTTTCAAAATTTGGCACCTGAAGTTTTCCGAAACATTTTATAAAAATTATCTTAGTCTGTTTTTGATTAATCAGAAATTACAACAAAACTGCCGGTTTCATTGCCTTTAACTAAAATGAGCATCCTATAAATCCAAACTAAAATTAAAACATTCAATTTCTATAACATCACTCAAACTTTTTTAAAATTCCGAAAACAAAATTTTCGACTATATCGACGGAAAATTGATATGTTTCAACTTTCTTGACTTTCCCGACAGCCAACATTGAAATTGTACTGGGTTGACTCAGATATCCTTCTACCGGTGCGACTAAATTGTGGCATGTAATAATTATCGCGGCGTTTCGAGCTCTCATAACGTTAAAAAATTTCAAACATGAGACAACTGTTTGAAATTCACCACAAAATATCAAAACTTTTTAGATCAGACAGGATATGTTGGCAGCAGTTTTATGAAAATTGATCTCTAAATTTCTGGATTTTGAAAGTCTGATCGAGAGCAAAATTGAGAGTCTGATTTTTAAGAGCCAAATTGGGAGTCTGATTTTTAATAGCCAAATTGAGATTCCGAACTATTTGTTCACTACTTTTTTAACTTTATTATAAAATGTAAAGTTAATTTAGTGGTTTTTAGTTCTCTTTCTAACAGTTTTTCATTTAGTTCAGACGCCTTTGAAAACAAAAATTTAGGATATAAGAACAATTCAGTGATCGGTTTATTTTTTTGATGTGGTGACCAATTTCAATTTTCCGATTTTTTTCCTTCTTTCTATTATAATGGCGGTTTTTCAGATTTTTTTTCATGTTCTTGCTTGAACTTAGAATGAACGATGGCACTTTGAATAACGATTTTAACGCTTGGACAATTTTGAGGCTCTTCTGGGCTCAAAATTTTTTAAAAGGTGATTTAATTGTTTTCTTTGATCGAAATAATGCTGCCCTTCTAAAGTTTAACCTCGATATATTTTTTGGCTCCGGTTTCGTTCAATTAAAAAAAAATCCGAAAGACTTCTTTACATTTATTGTTCATAAAGTTACAACCAAATTCCAATACAGGACTCCTTCTTGGGTATAAGCGGCGTAGAAAACGTTTACAATACTAAGTCTTTCGAATGTTTTTAGCGAGTTCGTTTTTTAAAAGTAGATCCAGAAAAAGCTGAATAGATTTGAAATATTTTTGGCAAACCTTTTTCCACCACAAACCAAAGCCTAGGAGCAAATCAAATCATTTTTTCACATCGTGGTTTGAAGTTGGGAAAGAGTAAAATTTGTTTTTAAAATCAATCCTTGTTTTAAACATCAAATCATTTTGCTTCCAGACTGTTTTTCATTCATTTTGCATTCATCTTCAGAGCTTTAAAAACAGAAAAAGCGTAGTAAACAAAAGTTTCTGTACGCATGCTCACACTTTGTTTTTACTTTTGAAGAAGGTGACGGAATATTTTTGCTCGGTCAGTTTTCTTTACAGACAAAATTCAACTTCAGCTAAAACTTTTTAAAATCAATTCCAAAACAAAACATATAAGTTTTGGGGTCTAAGAATACCAATTTAGCCAGTTTGGTATAGTTAAAGCAACTAAAAGATCCTTCTCAAATAATTTGATGCATGGTGCTTGGTATGTTTGAAACTTTTAGATGCAAATTGTGTCAATTTTTTTCTGGTTTTCAAAACAAAATGTTTCATAATTCTTAAAACAATCTTCTCAAAAAAGTCTGAAATCTTTAATTTCCTCAGAAAAGTATTGAAGTCTTGAGCTCAAATCTAAATTATAATCTTTAGACGTGAGATGTTCATTTTTTTTCTAAATTTACGGGGGTTTAAAACAGACGCCGTGCTTCATGCTTATAACTACCCGCATTGACAAAAATGGATTATGATCGATTTTAGTATGAAAAAAGCACGTTGATTAAATTTAGATCGATTTTAGTATGAAAAAAGTTCGTTGATTAATTTTAGATTGATTTTATTATGAAAAAAGTTGGAAGATAAAACAAAAAAGATGAAGATTGATTTGGATCGATTTAAAATCAATTTAAAGTGATCTTAAATCCCAGCTAAAAATCAATTTAAATGCATTTTTTCCAGTCTGATTTTGTTTTTAGTTTTAAGGGGATTAAAACGCATTTATTCATTCAACAATTTTCTATAATTTCAATGCCTTTTGCTTGAAACTGATTTATGTGGATATTTTTATTGAATTCTATAAGTTCTGGCACGAATGTTTACATTTAAAAATCGAGAATAAAATTTTTCAACAACTTTTCAAAGGGTATGTTTTTTTCGCCTTGTTAGCAAAAAAATCTGTTTTAGTGTGTCGGAAAATCCATCGAAATCAATTTAAATCGATTTTTCAGACACTTAAATTGATTTAAAGTTTTCAAAAAGATCGATTTAAATCGATTTAAAATGGATTTAAGTGAGATTCTGATGGTTTTAAGTGAGATTCGGATGGATTTTAGTGAGTCGGAAAATCCATCGAAATCGATTTGAATCGATTTTTTAGACACTTAAATTGATTTGAAATTTTCAAAAAGATCGATTTAAATCGAATTAAAATCCATTTAAGTTCGTAAAAAGTACATGGTTAATCGATTTGGATCGATTTAAAATCGATTTAAAATCAATTTAAATCGACCGGAAACCATTTCTGTCAGTGCGGGTAGTGAACACTGGTCACAAAAAGAACATAGAAGTAACGGACTATTTATTTTGGCAATCAAAGTAAGGTTTTCAACAGAAAAAGTTTTTGTCCATTCAAGATAACAAATCCCTGAAATTAATTTCATACTCCTAATTTATTAACCTGCATTCGTCTCGAAACCACTCAAAAGACAGTCCGAACATTCATGGCTTGGCTAATACAGTACTAGAGTCTCAATATATACTTTTGTACATTACTAAACTGTGGGTAAAGGTTGCCAAAAAAAGGAAAAAAAAAAACTAGTACTACTTCACTATTTTGAAATCATCGTCAACTTCGCATATATTTTGGAAAAACTGCTGAGGTTTTGTTCAGGCCGAGCTTCTCCTATACTTTGGAAAATTTTGCTGAGTTTTCGTTCCGGTTGAGCTCTGAGATCTGGCTGCAAAACTTTTCACGTCACCGCAGCTTTAAAATTGTTAGATTGCCTTGACAACCCCCTAG